GAACACCGGAAGTCTGATTTCCATAAAAGTAGATGGTTCACTCGCGGCTGGACCTTGCAGGAGTTGCTCGCCCCCATATCTGTCGACTTCTTTTCTGCTGATGGGAACATGCTCGGTAACAAAGGATCTCTTTCACATCAGATCAATCTTGCTACCGGTATACCCATCGAGATCTTTTGGAAAAAAAGGTCTTTCCTCTCATACAGCGTTAGCGAGCGAATGTCCTGGACAAAAGGCCGTCAAACCAAACGCGAAGAAGACGCAGCTTATTGTCTGTTTGGCATGTTCGACGTCCAGTTGCCGGTCATGTATGGAGAAGGGGAGAAGAAGGCTCTTGTAAGGCTGCAGAAGGCTATCCACGAGATATCCAGTTACCCACCGCCGCCACCACCTCCTCCTCCGCAGCTTCCCTATGCACAACTGCTTCCGCTACCTCCACCGCCACCACCACCACCTCCTCCACCTCCGCATCACCAGTATCTTTCGGGTATGGAGCCAACCACTGACGCTCATCGGTCCCTCCGAGTACGATCGAGCAGACTATAGAAGCAGCCCATGCAGGCTCTACAGGGTTTTGGTGTATCAACTGGAACAAACAAAGCTGTCAAACGAATATTGTCGGCCTTTTGGTCATTGCCAGTCCATCAACTGAGGTTACGTCTATTTTGTGATAACGCAGCTGGTACACATGATCAGAAATATGCCGCTGCACGATAATATTGCTTGACAGATACAGCCTTATGTGTTCGATGCTCGAAGGATATGCTGGATGCAGTAGGCACGGCCTGCCGGTTTAACGCACCTAGGGGTCTTAATGATTCATTCGGGTGGCCCATTTGTAGTAGACCAGTGATCGTTATGTATGATGTAGAAGCACAAAGCGGGGTGGTTTCATGCACCCTACGCCTCGTCCAAAAGCGGTGCACATACCCAACAACAGAAAATCCAGGTTTCGACGCATATCGACTAGCATTCGAGATCCCAGGTATGATAGATGTGACCGGCATGCAAGCAGGCACATTGACCGACGTTTCAAGCTGACAATGCAGCTACCCACGCCCAATAGGTTGCGCCACTAGAATGCAACTCCAATCAGGAGAACTGCTGCTATCACGATGCATGACAGTACGAGAAATCTCTTTGGCTTCGGTCTCAAGAAGCACATCCTGCGCCCGGCTTACGTTGCGCACGCTGGTTTCTTTGTCTGCTTATCTCCTCTTCTCTGCTCACCGACTTGACCTTGATGCTCCTGTGAGACGAGTCAATTCTCCTGCACATGCTTCAGCCCGCTTCAATGCCATGGCTCCATCATGGCGCATAAAAAGTAGCTTCATCTTCAGCCTTGCTGCCGTCGTCTTCTTCCAGCCTCGCCTGATAGCAGCGCAATGCGACATCCCGCCTCTGACACTCACCTGGTCGAACATCACCGTCACACAGGACGGCCTCGGTGTCGCACGTGGCATTGAACTTGGTATTGGGACTCCGCACCAGATCTTTGCTTTCCGACCGTCCACTACGCTCAACAACACGCGGATCAATAATGTTATCAACTGTGGATCTGCGACCAACGACAGCTGCATTGGTGGTCTGGGTGGTGCTTTCGATGCGCCAAAGTCGACATCGTATGCGGTTTCGATCAAGAGCCAATGGAATGGCAGCCAAGTCGACGCTGAAGACAGTACCGGTGCATACGTCTACTTCAACGATGATGTCGCGTTTCAGGAAAATGGCGATGTCGACGGCTTTCCATTGGTCATGGATAGTGAAGTCTGGGGAGGTGAGGATCCCTCAATGCGTCTCGTCCAATGCGGGCCGTCGAGCTATGAATGAAGCTGACTGATAGCAGGTGTGCAATCTGGTCTACCTCTCGGAACCAACTCCTCCTTCCTCCGCGCTGCAGTCGCTGGTGGTGTCGCGCCATCTCAGGTATTCGGTCTTTGGAGTGGTAGCAGGGGCATCGATCCACATGACGGTCTGCTCGTTGTGGGAGGATATGATCGCGCGCGGGTTGACCCTGCATCCAACTTCACCACTTTCCCGATCGGCGAATGGAACCTCATGCGGGCCTGCCCACTACAGGTAACGGTCACAAACCTGACGTATCAGGATATACCGCTCATACCAGACGGAAGCGATGGGCTGATTGCTTGCATTGAGCCATCGACGCAGCGTTTCGTCTTTCCTCCAGCGATTGCGCAGGCATTCGGAAACTCTACTGGCCAGGATGAGACCGAATATCCGGGGAAGATGCAATACAACGTCTCGAATCGTCCCGGCGGCGATCTCGTTGTGACATTGGCAGGCGGCTATCAGTCCAGGATACCTAACAAGGAATTGTTCACGCCACTACGCGGATCTGATGAGTACGGCCGGTATGCCATCACCAACGACAGCACACTCGAAGCCTTTGTGTCGGATACGCGACAAGGTGATCCAGGCGATGTTGACAGTATCCTGGGAGGGCTCTTCTTGACCTTCAACTATCTTTTAGTAGATTACGCGAAAAGCGAGTTCCAACTTGCGCCAGCTGTCGCAGCCAATGCGGAAAACGTGTCGCCAAACCCTACCACAATCTGCACACCTACCAACATCACGCCCGTGAGCCCGACTCCGACAGCGAAAAATAAATCGACCAATAAAGGTGCGATCGCAGGTGGTGTTGTGGGAGGTGTTGCTGGACTAGCCCTGCTCGGAGCCGTGGGCTTCCTGCTGTTTAGGCAGAACCGCCGAGCCAAGAACCCTGCTGTCAGCGAGATTGATGGGCAAACAATTGAACCAGTATCGCGGCAGCCGTCAGAGATGATGGCGCATGAAGTTACACCTGTGCATGAGATGTCTGCGAGTCGATACGCAAGTTTCCGAAAGCCTGAAGGAAGGGGATGGCATTGAGCGCGGGCGCGGGCGTGGGCGTGAGAAAAGGGGAGGCGGGCAGATCCGCTTCGGATGTGTAATGACATAGTTCTACACTAAATTTCTGGGCGCTACCTCGAGCAGTCCATTGTTCGCCCAAGTCGCCCTTTTCTTTCCAACATGCCTTTCGTCCTTTCATGGCAAAAGTTTCGCTCTCCTAGTCGGCTCATACACGGGAACCGTCATAGGTACCACATCGCTGTCGCGACAATAGCCCACTTCTGCCCACCTCAGCCAACCCGCATACGTCCTAATGGCACAGTCGCTGCCACGATGCTTTCTCCACAGCATACCGAGAGTGTCACTTCCGAACAGCTTCGCCGAAAACCCGTGCCCAAGCTTCAAACACCAGCTGTCTGCCACTACTTTCTCTACAATACGCCTCGCAAGTGCTTGATCGTCTGTCTCAATCTCGCTCTCCTTGGGTAATCGAAGGCTCAGAAGATCAAATTGCCTCTGACCACTCCATCCAGTCATCTGCTCGTGTGCGAACGCACCGTCCATCATGCTGAGCAGCCAGCACTTCTCTCTGACATACTTCGGCCCGTCCCATCCATCTTCTTCATCCACCCAGCCTTGCGCCGATCCCATACATTGGATCTGAATCGCGTAGTCGGTCATGGCTTCGTCGTTAATCACCATCTTCTCCTGTCCCTCTTCTTCTACAACAACCTCTTGTGGCACACGCATAAGCGGGATGTGGGACACCATTGGATGCGCATGTGTGCCGATCGTGTTGGTCTTGCCTTCCCAGACTTGGAGCAAAATGTGATGTGCGCGTTGCACGAGCGGGTTGTCCGCTCGACACATGAGCGAGAAATTTACAACCTGCGGCTCATCTGCTCCCAGCGTGAAGCCGGCGAAGTCGTAAGGCGAATCTGGGTTGGTCATGTGTTCGGTCCAAAGACGATTAAGGTCGCCGAATTGAAGGATGCCAACATCAAGATACACACCACCGTACTTCAACAGGAGCGGATAGCGGATGAGATCTGAGGTGTGTTGTGCAGCATACTGTCCGTCCAGGGTGCCGTTTGTGAATGCCGCCGGTACAACCGAGGAGGACTTGGTGTCGATGTAGTTGCCTACATTTAGTGGGGAATTTGACACGTTGTCAAAGACATAGATGGTCCATCCCAGTGGTGAGAAGCGGCGGTACCAAGCAAGAACGTTGCGTAGTAGGACGGGTGGGATCGTTCGGATGCCAGAATGCCAGAACGCGAATATGGACTTTGAGTCTACAAGAGGTGGCTTCGGCGACAAGAGCTCTTCGGGTAGAGGCCCTTCTGTTGAAATAGGCTCCAGAACCTTGGACGGAATTGTTGAAGTTCCTGGAATAAACGGGTAATCCATGATTCGGCTTAATCGTAGACGGTCGATCTTGATCTTTGAATTGTTCTCTTTGTTGATAGGGAACTGCATCGTGAATGCCAGTACAACTTTAGTGATATTTATCGGGAAAGGTACGCAGGTGTCACCGTTCGCCGTCCAATGGTCATTTCGACTCATACACGCTAATCCACGCGTGACGTCATCGTGCATATAATCTTCACCAGCGTGTTGCGAAGCATCGAAACGTGGTGTCGCGACATTATCACATGATATTCGCTTGGGCAGACACGTCTGAGTAAGATTGGTCATTATCTGCAGTCTGATCTGCCCAGGAACATGACTACCACAACCACACGACAATGTGTACCGAATCGACGATCGAGCCCAAGAGCCAACTCGTGTATGGTGCAAGATGATCGGATATCATGCGCTGACGATTGATAAACTGGCTGGGGACAGGCTTGAGTCTCGAATCTTCAGTCGCTGTCTTGTCTACGCCAGCCTGTGCCGGAATTGATCACATGCGTTGGGTAAGCTCAAAAGAGCAACGAATAACACGCACGACTCCAGAGAACGCACAGCAGGTGCAGATACGGTAACTTGGTCATTTTGGCGAGAAATTGGACTTGCTTGTTTTCACAGTCGTCACCGCTCCATCGAATCGCGACTTCCGTTTACCGCCAAGCACGCGACCAGATGTGCTGGGTCTAGACTGCTACCTTCACTGACAGACTATCCTCCTCCATCGACACACCATCAACATGCAGCAACCCAGATCCGCCCTCTCGCCCCTTCCCGACATTGTGCGCGGCCCATCCGCACCGCCGCGACTACCACCTCGCCCTTCCCCACCACCGCCTGCTCCAGACTTCCTCGTCATCGGCTTGTTCGCCCTGCGACTCACCAAGCGGTTGATTGAAAGCCTCGAGTACTATCCCGGTCGTGATGCCGACATCATCTGGCTCGTTAACTTCCTCTCGCCCTTCCACAACGAATACGAACTAGCCAAGATCTCAGGTGCTCGGAGAGATGACTACCTCGCGACGTATCAGAGCATTGTCTCACGGATGAAGAAGCAGCCAAAATACCCTATGCGGTTCATGCAGATGAACCCGGATCGATCGGCGCAGCCAGCAAGGCGAGGAAGCGAGATGGAGCGACCGAGGGACATGACCGATGGTGAGTAGATCGGTACATGTGACAAACATGCTGCTAACATAACCCAGTGGAGAGACTGGAGATTATCAACTTCTGTGATGCAGCGGGCGAATGGGGATCTATCCTCCCGATACCAGCGCGTGAAGCAGAGAGAATGGTCGAACTGGCTGACCGAAGGAAGATCGCGGATCTCGATGAGTCTCATAGGCAGAGGCCGCGCTATGAGGAAAGAGAGGAGTTACGGGATCACAGGCAGTCGCGATCTGAAGACAGAGAAGAGTTGCTAGATCGGAGGCCATCCCGATTCGAGCCACAGTCTTTGCCTCACGATACAAGGCGACCACTGCAAGAGGTCAGGCAGCCGGACCGCGACGACAGATATCGACTACGTAATACTGGAGTGTGGCGTGGTGACGAATACCTTCCGCCTGATGAAAGGCAGCAGCCAGTGGATACGAGAAGGAGACGTCGGGTATCTTTCGCGGATGATAGGCAGTACTACGAGGTAAGAGTTTTGCGTTCGCATGGGATTTGTGCACCCACTGACTTGAGTAGGACGAACGCCGTTAAGAAGATGTGAGATGGCGCGAACGTTAAGACTTGAGTAACCGGGCGTGCGCTGGAATGTTGGTTTCCCAAGACGAAGACACGATCGTGATGAGAAGATCGTGGCAAGGGTGTCTGATCCGCTTGTTCTGAGTACTGCACATCTCGTCCACCTTAACTAGACTTGTACAATGTTAGCAGTGATGTGTCGAATGAAGTCATTGGTTACTACCGATTGCGCAACTCCTACTTTGTCCGGATACAGTTCGTGACGTTATCGCGCGCCTTGAGATCCAAATTTTATCGCGAACCTGGTAACCCGCTCAACAGGTCAGAGGTCTAGGCGAGGACGCTTCGCTCCTTCCATCTACAGCTCTTTCGGGACTGATCGTTCACTTTGGCGTTGGACTCGGAAGGGGTTCAGAGGAAGCGGCAGGCGCGGCCTTTTGCATGATAGGGCGCAGTCCGGTCTCTACCATGGTTTGCACCCCTCGCTTGAACGAACCTGACAGTCGAAAAGTCGTCTACGATAGATTTTGAGCTTATTTCAACGTTCCAGAAAAACTTCTTTTGCCAGAACATCAAATCAGAACCGAAACAATTTCCAAGGACGGCATAGCGTGACTACCGCTGCGAAGCACGATCAGCTACCACCAACCGCGCGAAGAGACCGCTCACCTGGAAGATGGCGCTCCGCGACCCTGCGAGCACTGATATCGTCGACTATTGTATACGTGGCGAGTCTAACCACCTCTATGAAGAACCAGATGTCGACGAAGACATTGTGTATCGCATTATCCCCGGAGATGCAGTGACTGACGAAGAACTGGACATATGCGCTGGCAACTTCTCTTCTGATTACGGCGTGTGGAGTTGGAGAGCGCATCTTGAAATGGGGATGATGGCCGAGTATGGTAAGTCCTCCGGTATTATTGGAGCGTGTAGGTCGGCAGCCAAGGACGCATCGCTGACTCTGGTGTAGGGAAACCAATACATATGAGTCGCGTAAGGCTGAGAGCTCAATGCCTGCCTGAGGGCGCGAACAATATCCTAGTTACGGTCGTTACTAAAGACGATCGGCACGTTGGGCACTGCTTCGTGAGCCAGTGGATGCATGGGGACAATCGAGTCTGGTGGATAACACAACTGGTCGTGGTGAAACGCTATCGCAACCAGAGGCGAGCTACACGAGTGAGCATCTATCACGCATCTTGATTGAGGATTTGCAACTAACATATAGTAGATGCTACAAGCCCTGGCCATGCACTACGATGTCGGCAGATCTACCCAAAGAGATCTTGTCGGAATAGCAACCGTGAACCCGTATAGTCTTTGCGCTATTCTTCGCGTTTTCGGTCGTGGTATCGAAGTACTGCCGTCGAAGCCGGATTGGGAGAAATGTCGCATTCGCCACACGCCGCTGCTCAGTGCCGCATGTGAGCCTATAGTCGGCGCCGCACCACTCAGTTACATCCGTAATGCCAAACTATCGCAGGGGAAGTTAATTGCGAATACAAGGTTCTTTGTAGATCACGCTACATCTGAAGAGGCGATGGAGAGAATCATACACAGTATGAACCAGCAGGTGTCCGGGCCGTGGGAGTGGTTGTTCGGCTGCTTGGAACCTGGGCACGAATATGTGTGTATCCTTGACTATTCCTACGATCAGGAATACAAGATGGATCTAGCACTCTTCGACACGCCATCGGTTCCTAATGAGCCTTGTTTGGGAAAGCACGCTGCAAGCCCGTCGAAGGCGCTGTTTAGAGCAGCTTTTGGCAGCTCCAGGCCGCCTGAGCAGAGCCCAACTCCGGTTCGATATGCTGACATCGATCGATACTTGCTCGAAGTGCCTGAGAGTTGCGTTCTCGATCTGAACCTCAGCAATCGTGCCCATGCATCCTTGCATGGCAGTATGCGCAAGCTCATCTACGAAGCCAAAGAGCTGATTGCAAAGCATTTGCGTGTGTTGCCCACCATCATGGGCGCAAAACATATACCAAGAGACCTTCGAAGAGTCTATCAGACGGCCAATATGATCTTCCCGTTACCAGGACAGATACAGACGTGGGGAGATTTTGTGCCGTACGTACAAGAGGTCTTCGAACACGGCATCAACACTGAAGCTCGCATGTTGATCCTGCAGGCGATTCATTTCCAGGAGCTCCGTGAGACCGATGAGAGGGAACAGAAAGAGAGGGCGAAGAATGCCTCAGCATTAGCCAAAACGACCAGGTCGAAAGAGAAAAAACGGTCGTTCATGGACACGAAGGAGAAGCCTGGGATTGAACCGTTAGCATACGCCGCATATTCCCTCAAAGACAATAACGAGGAACGATTCGCAAAATCGCGAACAAAGCGTAAGCTCACGCCGACAACGCCTACTAGAAAGCCTCTGGCTCCGAAGTCTCAAGGACTGTTGGGAGCAGCCAAGGCGATGATAAACACACCCACATCCACTCCCAGACATCGGGCAGCATCAATGTTTTCTTCCATGAGCCCCTTCCGGAAATCTAAAGAGCCAAAGTCACAGTCTCGACCTTCTAGCATGGCGATGCAGGCCAACAGCCCTACACCAGCCACACCCGTGACGGCACCTAAGCACACGTCCAGTCCAATTGCCCAATCAACCGTCTGGACGCCGGCTTCTGTGGCTCCCGAAACACCAATCTCTACAGCTTTTGTTTCTCAAGGACAAGGTGAGATACATGTGGTGACGACACCACCCACAACTCCACCACCCGCTCAATCGCAGCCGAGTCTTCCACACTACATGGCCCCAACCGCGGGCTCAATGCAACGGTACGACACCCGCAGCCCTCAGCTTTTCTATTCCGATGAGTCTGATGGGTGCAGTAGGTCGAATGTTTTTGGCCGGCGTTCTCTAAGGAATAGTGCGAAGACGTTGGATCGGACGCAGGGTATGAGGGGATGAACTATAGGCCGAGTTGAAATAGATTGCGAACCATTCTAGGGGCATGGCCCTCTTGGTTGTTTGAACAATCATTGATGGGTATTACTTTGTGAATTCCAACAAAATAAGAGGCTGGTGGACGATGCAGAGTCAGGAGCGATGCTACGGCTGAGTGTGGGGCATGACGCGTCTCGATGAGCTAGTGCGTGGAGGGCACCTTGCTTTTCTCTCTCTTCAATCAATGTACACTTCACTTTCACGATCCGCCTAGATGGCGCTCGAAATACTGTCAACACAAAGCCATCTCATTCTCTAGGCATATTACAAGACCTTAGTGTTGCGAAACCAGTCGCTCGAACTAGGTACGAGTGTGATCCACTCGCCACTCTATATGAACGCATCCATCTATCTTACACTGACGCAAAGAAATATAGCATTTGAGCTAGTTGTAGGAACTTGATCTACGCTTACAAGGCCCAGGCAGCAATAGCGAAAACGACCGACAGACCCATGGCCATCGAGTTCACGACAGAGACTGAAGTAGCAGCTCCAGCTCCAGTACCGCTAGGGGCGGCGGTGCCAGATTGCTGAGCACTCTCGCTTCCACCGTCACTTCCGCCATTGTTACCGTTGTCGCTGTCGTTACCGCCGTCGTTGTTGTTACCGCCAGTGGTAGTGTTGCCGCTTGAAGAGCCACCAGATGAAGTGCCGTTGTTAACGGGCTCCGCCGATGGCAACTCCTTCTGCTCCTTAGGGCAGCTGATGTCGAAGCGCGGGGTGGTGGAGAGGTTGTCGGAGACGGCGAACTTCACCTTGTTCGCGGGGTTGGCGTCGCGGAGTGTGTACCAGAAGACGTTCTTCTTGCCGAAGAGCGCGCAACCGACGTCCTTCCAGTATGTCTCGGCGTTGTCCACAGTCGACTTGGCAGCACCAAAGTCTGGACCCTTGTATGCCCAACCGGTCTCGGTAACCCATACGTCCTTGCCTCCAGCAACACCCTCGGTTGCGCTGATGGCGCTGCTCAGGAGCTTGCCAGCGTTGTCAATCTTGTTGTCCAGCTCGGACTCGTAGAAGGGGAAAGCGTTGACGGCCAAGAAGTCGATCTCGTCGATGACCGCGGCGTTGGACTCGTTGACCCAAGCAGTCCAGGTGTCGACGTGGGTGATCTTGACATCCTTAAGGGGTGTGTCAGCAAGACGCTCGCGCGCGGCCTTGATGAACTCGACAATCTTCTCGGCGCTGTTACCGACACCGGCCTTGTTCCGGATGCCGGGCTCAGACACGCGGTAGAGATCCTCGGAACCGACCGACAGTCCAATTACGAGATCCGTCAGCTTGGTGCCGTACTCTTCGACGGCAGAGTTCAACGCCTTCAGCTCGTTGTCGATATCGTCGGTTCCCGAGGCCCAAATGCCGAGAAGGAGCTTGGAGTTTGTCTTGATGGCAGCAGGGAAGGCGGCGATGGGAGTGTCGGTCGTCTGCCACTGGATGTTGGAGTACAGGCGGATGGCGGTGAAGTCGCCCGGCGCGCCCTCGAGGTTCTGCGCTGTGGTGAACTCCTTCTCAAAATCCGCCTGTGTCTTGGCCTTGCCAGTGTCGTCCGAGGCTCCCGAGTTGAAGCCCAGGACGAAGTCTTGCGCAAGGGCGCCGCTGACGGTCGCCGCCGCGACGGCAAGCGCTGATACGAAACGCATTGTTGGTAAAGTGGATTAAGGGAGCGACTGTAGTTGAAAAGTTGAAAAAGATTGCAAGAAGAAAGGTGTCAGAGAGTGTGGAGAGAGTGTGGAGAGTGAGATTATTCAAGAGAGAGCAGGGCAAACCCCCGTGTAGGTTCGTGCAAACACGCGCTGGCGATCATTCACGAGCGGCTTACCCCGTAATTGCGCTCTCGGCGTCCGGGGCCGTTTGATTGGACAGCCGGTCGCACCGCGCTGGTATCAGCCTCAGCTAGGCCTTGGCGCCAAGAGTGGCAGGTGAGCCGTCGGTCTTCGTTTGGTGAGTCTTTGGTGCACAGCCACGCGCCTGAAACGGCGCGTAGAATGAAAGCGTTTCGGAAGCTTTTGGACGTCACGTCATAATAGGCTATCCTCCTATCGTCTCCAGGCTCTGGCGCTTCTTATTCCCGCAGCACGTACTAACCCGACATCATGTCTACAAAGCCATACATCTTTGAACGAAGACATTCGCTCCAAGGACGCAGCAGACATCAGCATCAGTCCTGCAGGCTATGCCAGCACCTATCGCGTACTGCTACGACTCAGCCGTTGTGCAACCCTCATCGCAGCCGACATGTGTTACGATGCAGTTGGGATACCCATACCTACCTACGAGCGTGTTCATCCAGAGACTGCTCAGGTGAGGATGGTGAGTAATCGTCAGAGAGAGAGTTCAATAAACATGGAGCACGTCAAGCAAACGCCATGCCACCGGAACAATCCCGGAATACCTGAAGTCTTGTGCTGAGCTGTGCCTCGAATATGTTGGAACATCCCCCTCTTCAACGTTACACAATCTCGCTCCTCGATGTAGCGAAACAGCTGCTTACACGGTAACACTCGGTATAGCTTATGCCAGAATCATCTAAGATGGGCGGTTCTAACAGCCGTGCATTCCGCTAGGACACAACACAGCTTACATTGCCCAAATATCACTCCATAGTATACCATGCGTCTCCTAATATAGACCCCATAACTTCCTGCCTGAATAGTAATCGTCCACCCAGTTCACCTGAGCGATCTCCGCAATTGGTAGTCCGTTTTCAAGGATTCAGATAACCGATCACCTGGATTAGGGTCTCAGAACGCCACATTAATCTATAAACTCTGCTTTTCGCTCCTTATCAAGATGATTCCAACCGGGCAAGAAAACTGCCTGTTGGAAGTGGGGTCCAGCTGATGCAGGCAGAGGACAAATCATGGCTATTGGCGAACTCGTCACCATGGGATTGCTTGATGGGGACTAGATTGCTACATACAAGGCTTGTGGTGTGCGGAACTATGCCGCAGGAACGACAATACCGACCGAGGATAGCTCCTGATGTCGTTCCTCGTGAAGCCATCAACATGACTAGCAGATGTATTCACAGGCTATATGAGCCGTAAAACATCCAGTGACTACCATTTGCTGTTTCGAGACTAGCATTGTGTGAAGGACCTGGAGGACGATTCGAAGGGTCGTGCTGTTCCAGCACGCGGACTAGGACGTCTGTGCCACTTCCCCGCTTGAGTGCTCGCTGTGCGACATCAAGTAAGCAGGCTTCGTTAGGCGGAGTCGGGATGTTCAAAGTGATGGGTAAGCGCTGAGATGAGCATGAGGACTTGTAGAGTGAAATCCTGAAGTGGCACAAGAGCGCTAAGACTGTACGATCACTCGCATCACACCGGTCACTGCCTAGGTACTTACTAAGAGCCATGGCTGGTTAAGCCTTAACCTGTTGTCTAGATGTGACTCGTCCCTGACGTACCAACAAACCTTTCCAACCGGAATACCAGCCTCAGATGTCCCGAATAATGTGCCTGACACCCGCTGTACCCGTTGTACAAACACAACATCCACCTAGTGTGACGGGGAACTGTAGAACAAGAGCCCGACATTACGCGCTGGGAAACGCCACTTCATGCCAACCCCAGCAGAAGGCAAGTTGACTGGTACAGATATACATGCAGAGGTTACACTACATTGCAGAACTTTCCTCGGAAATGTACATGTACAAGCTATGAAGGGAGGTGCAGTTACGACACTACGTCGTTTGGCTTACACATCATATTCGTACACGCTGAGAGAGGGAAGAAGTCTCGAGAGAATTTAGAGCACGTGTGGCTTTCTGAGGCCGGTATTGTGGTGGAATCCATACCAAACCAGTGGGCAGTAGAGGGGCGAAGCATGAAGGTGGGGGCTGTACGACGTGTTAATGCTGACTTATTGTGAAACAAGACCCCCAGCCGCACAGTGATGATAGCGAGCGCGGCAGTGGATGGGCTATGGCCGTGAGTCCACGCGTGCGAGTGCAGGCGGCACTGGTATCACTGTCAAGTAGAGCATAACGCTGGTGCGAAGACATGGTAAGAAGATCTCGAAAGAATCGGGAACCGGCGTATATTATCCTGTTCGAGCGTTGGCCTCTCAGGTAGCCTCCGCTGCAGATGGAGCCGAATTATCATCAACATCCATCGCTCGCAGCTTAGCCTCCACGGCCGCCACGACCTGGGAATCGAAACGCTCCCCTTTCTCAGGTTTCCTGACACTGTGATATGTTAGCGATGAATATTTCTGAAATCCTGCAAGATGTATACTCACGGTGATCTTGTACACTTGTCGCATCTCTCATGCCCACATCCTGGACATTGCGGCGAATTATTGTGAAAGAGGCCATTGCACTTCTCACACTGCCAGCGCACCCTAGTCCTCGGCTTTCGCCAGGTCCGTCTGAATTTCTCCAGCTGTTTCTCCACCTCCGTCTCGCTGTCAGGCTCAGCATCGCCCGGGTAGCCATCAGGCCATTTGCTGAGCTTGGCTGGCTCGCGCGGGCATTTCGTACATCGGACATGCTGGCATGAATTGCAGATATTCGCCGTTGCGGGAACGAACAAATTCTCACACACATGACAGTTACGTCTGATGCGTTGTCTCGCAGGTTGATATACCAACTCGTCGCCGCCACGAGTCCGGATGGTGAGCATTCTCTTTCGCTTGGGTTGCTCCATACCCTCTTTCTCGGCTTGCTTCTCTTCCGGCGTCTTCTTCTTGGGGAAACGAGGGCACTTCTTGCACCGCTTGTGCTCGCATTGCAGGCACACCTTGTCGGAGCCGTAAAGGGTTCCGCAGCGGTGGCAGCTGCGATGGACACGCATACGGATCGATTTTTCGACACGCTGGACGGTGGGTTTTGGAGCTGGTGCAGCGATCCACTCGTGTGACTCAAGGGTGAGGCCATACTTGGCGAAGAGGGCGCGGGCTCTCTCCTGCTGCATGGCGTTGCGGTCCATCTCCTTGGTAGTTGGAGTTGATGGCACTGACACGGCGGGAGTGATAGGTCTTGTTAAATTAGTACGCATGTTTCCAACGACACGGCGTTATAGAACTCACGTGGCAGGTGCGACTTCCGGGATGGTTTGGTCCGGCTGCGCAACTTCCTTCTCGACAGGCTGTTGCTGCGCGACTTGAGGAGTTGACGATGGCTCGGGCGCCAGGGTCGGTACACTTTTGTTTGATTTCTCCCTCTTGAACACAGTGCTCATCCGCTTCACATATTTGCCCAGGGTGCCGCGTTCCACATTCTTGCCCTTGTCCACCGCTCCAGTATCTGCTGGTGTCGTCATGGTTGGCGTCGCAAAGATGTGTATGCGAAATGGCGATGCAACAAAGGGGCGCTGCTAACTTATGAATAGAGTTGGCCTGGACCCGAACACATGCGATCCGGTGACGAGGTTGCGCCGTTGAAAGTCAGCCCTGCATGCAGCTCAACTAAAAATCCCTGGAGTCTGGCCACTGGAACGTGTCGGGACACCGAAGGTTTGGTAGGCGGCAATCTACTCGACGGCCAAGGACAACCCTGAGAAGTGTAAACTGGCGTACTGGCAGTTTTAACCGTTTGTCAAAGCTGGCCGGCGAGACCTGGCGATGGCGATGTGACGAAAGGTGGCGGTCCACAAGTTATGTATGTATGTGCAGAGCGGCGCGCATCAGACCATGACCCGGCTTCCCAGTGGGCTGGAATCGACCCCGAACTACACAAGCGTGGCTGAGAAAAAGCGCGAGCCGTTGGTTACAAAAGCGGACAACATCAGGGCACTGCCTGCTGGACTGGAAGCGACTTCTGCGGCTGACTACGGCGAGGGACGTTTTATCGCTGGGAAAACCGCCGGGGAAGACGAACAGCAACGAGCAGTCCAGGGCTCAGGTTGTGCACGGGGAACAGTCGCACACGACGGCTGCATGCATTCTGGCTGCAACCGAGCCTGCGTCGCTGTTTGGTGCCCACGGCTCCATGTCTGCTGCGGGATCGCGGCGGCGCTGCATCCATTCCAGGCATCGATCAGTCGGCTTGCCAGCGGCCACCATGACGGAACCAGGGCCTGCGCCGCTCCGCGGAACATTGTGCCCGCATCCTGGGGGCCTCCGCCCACCACGGTTTGGCAGGGCTCGAGAGCCTCTGAACCCACACATCAGGTCGACACTGTAGCACGTTGGAACTCTGCCTCAGCAGACCCTTTCCCTTTCACCTCGCACCGGGGAACATCCAATCGATGGCTGGGCACACCCCACACGGTGCGGCGTCGCACTGTACTGTCTAGACAGCCTGACCCAACACGCTTTACCCAGCAAATGAGCGCCTGGATTCCGCGACGTATATTGCCTTTATCTGCAGCGCTGGATTCAGCAAATCCATGCGCAATCACATCGCTCCATCGGTTGCATCGCACCTGCCAAGAGGCACAGTGCAGCACCTTCAGCGGCCGGCTTAGTACGCTGCAGTCGGTAATGCACTTGCAGACAATCCGCTTGCTGCGCTGGCAGCCTGGCACACACCTGGGCACGTCGGCCGTTTCGTCCTTGAGATGAAGAGGCCAAGCGACGATGTCATCGACGCTGCAAGAGGTGCTGTACCGCCGAAAGTCTCGCCGCCGGTGGGCTTTTGGGCATGTATGCAGCTCTACCCATGGGCTGGATCGGGGCTTACTGCGGACAGTTGGGAAGCCATGGTGCCATATCGAGGCTGGCAACGACGACTTCCCAAGTGCAGCGCCGATCCGTGCTGTTTCAACCAGCCCATGCCATCGGTGGAGAAGCTTAGGTAACTATGGCTGGCCCGATGACCTGGGTGGTGTGGGGATCACGCCCCTCTTCGCTTGCCGCTTGAAGAGTCGGCAGCAGCAAGCTTTCATTAGCAGTCGAGCCGAACTCTAACTTTCCCTCCCCGGTGGTTTCTGCGTCTTCTATCGACAGCCCATCATTCCCTTCCAGGTGTCTTCTACTGCACGCACGTGCGGGCGTGTACCGCGCGCGCGAGCAATCAACGGCAACTTCCGCCGCCGGCCGAGCCGGCATCACCGCTGCTGGCCGCCGTTGCTGCCCTTATCGATCGCAGTATTCCAGCATTAACATGCCTCGGGCCCCGCGCGACGCGTACTAACTCTAGACGACTGCGACATTCCAATGCGACGTCGAAGCCGCTCTGCATCTCGGTGCACATTGCCGAAATTGCGTCCCATGTAGGCGCTTCGTGAAATTGACATGGCCTTTGTCTGGCGGAGGCTCGAAGTTATTAGGTTTGAGTAAAATGGCATGTTGTTGATGCACCATATTACAGAAGTCCCAACAACAGAAAGGCCTAGCAATTCCGATATCATGACACGGAGCGCGGCACAGGTCCATCAGCTACGCATTGCAATACGCCGCAATCCTCTAATACTAGGAGTAGAAGCCCTCAACATCACATATGCTTCCTCTAGTTCGACTCACTCTTCACGAGATCTTGTCACATGGAAAAAAATGCTGGAACAGACCCGTTACGACGTCCCACGATAAGCAACTTCCCCTCAAAGCCAAGCGTGATCGACTTCAGAAGGAGCAGACAACCTTGCGAACAAATGAATACTAAACATCAAACCCGGGTATAATTATTGTTACGCTCCATCGTGAGGCTACAACACTCGTCTACCGACGTCGCCTCGCTGTGCAAGATTTGTTGCAGGGTCTCTGAAACGCCAACAAGTACCGTGGTGGAGATGGCGGTACGGCAAAGCTTGACTCAGTCGTCTGGCCAGAACATCACCGTAAGAGTAAGTTAGGGGGTAGGTCCCCGTGCGCCGCGCAGCGCTCAGTCCTCTTCCGCCTCCGCACCATTCCGTCCCACCCTTTCCCGGTATTTTGGGTTGCAACGGTTGGGTGTTGAGCTCGCTTTCGGAAGCTGCTATAGGAAGATCATCCAGCATATCGCTCGAACGGGCAGGGTCTGTCACCGAGGCTCCCGGAAGGGTGACGCGTGCTCGGAACCGCCCATCTCCGCTGTACAAGGCGTGGAGGATTGAATGGCTCGCAAAGTATTCGGAGATGTGACTATGTGGAAGCATCACCGGTTGGACGCTACGACTTCGGTCAATATTCGATATGGTTTCATCTCGTCGCCCTCCGAAGTAATAGTATCGCTTTCGATGATTACCAGTCTCACATCAGGTTCCAGGGAGTCATCGCGCTATCTCCTTCGTGTTCTGATAACACGAGCAACCAATAGAGCAATCAAGAGCAGACAACGACAGGATGATCAGGAATACAAAATGACTAACATCTTTGACGATAATGACACATACGGGGTACAAGTACGTATTGTCATGAAAGATCTTTCGCACATAAGATTCGTTAGACCACTTTTTTATATTCGATCTTTGGGGTCACGGGTCCAGGGGACCCATATCGTAGCAATTTCAACACACAAAGGCTTCGCAGCTTACACTGAGACGGTTTCGGAAGAAAGGTAGACATCTTTTGGGTCTTTTCAGCGCTAATAACGACAATAAAGGCTGAATGCCACGTAGCAGAAGGTTTGTGATGTATAAGTCTCCGGCGAAGTCGGGAATCCTGCCGCAATCGACTTGAGCATGCCCCTCGTCACGAGCCATGTACTTTCTAGCTACAGATCATGACGTTGACATTCTGTGAACCATAGCCTCTCCGTCTTCGCTTTTGATATTCCACACATTTTGGCACTCTCTTCCGCCTTGACTTCACCCCACTTTTGTATGGAAGACATTAGTATAGGTCTTATAATTAGTGGATGGTAGCACACTGCAAAGATCCGAAGGTCTCTTATCCGCGCAACGTAAACCAGTGCTTCGAGTGTGCTGTAACTTTGGGGTTCGTCCACCGCGCCGAGCGCACGAGACAACACTACTGAAGTCTGGAAGTGTGTTGGGAGAACTACAAAGCACCACGGTCAGCATGTGAGGTTCTTTGGGTGAATCAAGTCCTCCGTTGCTTCCAGGTCGCTAGCGGAAGTTTCTAGTGTTCAGTCAATATGTTGAATCGTTCCTACCCTAGACAGGCGCCCATGCCAGGGTGGCGGACATATTTCGGGAGAAAACGATGTGGTATCGAACAGATGACTGTATGCCCGGGCAGCAGGAAACTTTCTTCTTTGCAGCTGGGTGCATGGCTTGATATTTTGACTTGACAAGGTCGCAATCGTCACAGATCGTGCGTGAGTGATCATCCTCGACGAGTTTGCAATCTGATGAGCAGGGCAGCAAGGCTGGAGATAAGTATCTTGAAACATGAGCGAGAGGGGAAAATCTTACACAAAACGGGCAAGGAAGAGCAGTAATGAGCAATGTGAGAGATGTGAGTATAGGCAGCTAATACAGTATAGTATACACAGACCGATTGTAACGAATGCAACGCTAAATGCAAGACACCAATCCAACTCCTTTCCAATCCCACCAAGACCCATGACTCAGACAATCTACATTCTACAATCTGCTCTCCCATCCCCTCCTTCCGTCTTCGCCCTCCCATCTCTCGGGCCAAACCTTGCCCAAAGCCTCCCAGATGTGGCCTACAAACTCAATCTTGAGACCCTGGGTAACTTCCAACGGTAGATCCCTAGCATCCTTCCGGTTGCCCTCGGGTAGGAGTACTCTTTCGACGCCTGCCCTCAGCGCTCCAATCAGCTTCTCTTTGATACCACCGACAGGCAGTACCCTTCCGCGAAGGGAGATTTCACCAGTCATGGCCAGTGTAGGCGGAACAGGCTGGTTAGAGAAGAGGGAGATGAGGCCGATGGTGTGCGCAAGACCGGCACTGGGACCGTCTTTGGGAATAGCACCAGAGGGGCAATGAACGTGGATGCTACGACTCTTCATAATGTCCTCATCGTGGCTTGCACTCAGGCCGAGATCAAATGCATGTGCCTTGACCCAAGTCAAAGCTACCTCTACACTCTCCTTGAGTACGTCGCCCAGCTTGCCGGTGAGCTGAACGCGGCCTGAGCCGGGCATATCTGCAATCTCGATGAACAGAATAGAGCCTTGGCCGCCGGTGCTATATGCGACTAGCCCTGTAATGACACCTGGGCGGGAAGATTGCTCAGTGAGCTCTTCGGCGAACTTCTCGATGCCGAGCGTGGTATCGAGGTCTTCCAACGTGACGACAGGGGAGTACGCGGCGAGAGTATTTGTGTCTTTCGCCGTGGCGTATTCGACGGCTTTGGAACGACAGACGGAGCCGATCTCGCGTTCGAGATTTCGCACACCGGACTCGCGTGTGTAGGATGTGATGATCTTGTCGAGCACGTCGGTCGGGATGTTGAGGTTCTCGTGGTGGAGACCATTGCTGGTGATCTGCTTCGGAATCAGATGTCTTGATGCGATATGCCTCTTCTCAAGTGTAGTGTAACCGGAGAGCTGGATGGTCTCCATACGATCGAGGAGCGGTGGGGGAATGGTATCGAGCGAGTTGGCGGTGGCGATGAAGAGCACCTTGGAAAGGTCAATAGGAATGTTAACGTAGTGGTCTGTGAAGGTATGGTTCTGCTCTGGATCGAGCACCTCGAGCATGGCTGCACCGGGATCGCCATTGTGGTTCGACATGCCTAGCTTGTCGATTTCGTCGAGCAGGAAGACTGGGTTTGCAACGCCGACCTTCTTCAGTCCGCTGACGATGAGACCAGGCATAGCAGCGACATAGGTCCTACGGTGGCCGCGGATCTCTGCCTCATCGCGCACACCACCAAGTGAGATGCGATGGAACTTGCGACCAAGTGCAGTAGCAACTGACTTGGCCAACGAAGTCTTTCCTGTTCCTGGCGGCCCGACGAGCAGCAAGATTGGCGACTTGTCGACCATGCGCTTCTTCTCCAACAGCCGCAGCTCAGCCTCCGATGGTTCCTTTGCAACCTTGTCTTCGGGGTCTTGTTCCTTGGCCTCGTCATCTCCCTCTGGTGTATCGGCGAGAGCGCGGATCTGATCGTCGATGGTCCTGTTTGCCTGCTCCTTGAGCTTGAGCACTGCCAGATACTCAAGTAGTCTCTTCTTGATCTTCTCAAGACCGTAGTGATCGCCGTCGAGCTGCTTCTTTGCCCTGACCAGTGTAGTGGCATCGAGTTGATCGACTGTCGTTTTGGTCCAGGGGATTTCGGCGAGGTTCTCAAGGTAGTTCCTGCAGACCTGGTATTCTGCTTGGGCGGGGTTCATCTTCTGCAGCCTCGATAGCTCGCGCTGAGCTACCTTGTCAGCATCTGGAGACAACTTGGCATCTTGGAGCCTCTTCTTCAGCTCGTCAATCTCGTTGGGCTCTTCTTCGCCGGCCTGTTGCTGCCCACCGCCTGGGAAGCCGCCAGGAAATCCGGCTGGGAGACCGCCTCCCATCTTTCCTCTTCTTGTCAGGGCTTCCTGCTGCAGTCGTCGCAGTGTCTCCATGTCCAAGCTGCCGCCCTGCGTCTGTGTTGTCGTGACAGTCATGCGTGTGTTGCCTTGGATGCTGCCGATCTGCCGCTGGAGGATCTCGATGACCCTGTCCACTCTCTCCTTGACGTCTACGGCTGCCAGAACGCGCAGCGTCTCCTCGTGTGTACTTTCCACCACGTTGGCCATGAAGTCGGCCAGCGCGCCAGCCTCCGACAGGTCTTTCCTTGTGATGTACATCTCGAGTCTCCGCGCGACAATGGGCGAGAGGGTGACTTGTGGCGTGCGCGGTAGAATGGCGGAGAGGCGGACGAGGGCGAGCAGCTCGCGCGACAGCTGCTTGAGGAGGTTGAACTGGTTCAGGAGGTCTGCACTCGCGATGTCGACTGTGCTAGTCAGTATGCGTGCAGGACCAATTCAGACGGGGGTATACGCACTGTACTCGTCGACGGCCATAAGCTCTCCCTCAAAGTACGGCCTCTCCTGGACGACATCGACGACCTGCACCCTCTCGAGGCCCTCGACCACCAGGCTCAGATCGCCCTGCCGCCGTCCTTGGACACCGCTGACCTTGGCGATGCAAGCATAGCCATAGATGTCTTTCTTGGTCGCCTGCATGGGATCGCTCTCGAAGGCCGTCTTGTCCCCCTGATGGCCATCGTCGATCAGCAGCTGGCCGTCCGGGCCCAGCGTGTTGGACTTCAGCGGCACGCAGGCGACCGTGATAGCCGCGTCGGGCTTCGCGGTAGGGCTAATGCTGTATATCTTGGCGAGGATGGCGGCGACATCGGAGCGGTTGGTGATGGGGATCTTGAGGGTTGTGCCCGGGAGGACGGCGAGCGGCGGCGCGAGCGGGATGAGCGGGAGCACCTTGGTGCTGGTCTTGGAGGAGCCTTTTCCCATCATGAGGTGCTAACGGCGAGTTGCTGGCGGGATGGGGTGAGCGTGTGAGCGAGGAAGGCGCAAGGTCGCGTGGTGACGTGCGGACCCGCTGGGCACTGTCGCTGGTGCGGACTCCCGAAGGAAGAGAGGGTGAGAGGCTGCCAAATGGACGGTGCAGAACAAAGAGGCGGCACACCAATGTTTTTCACGCAAACAAGTACACCACTATGTCGCGCTCGCAAGCTGAATTGTCCTGTAGATAAGAGCGTCAATGCGACGGCGACATGGTCGGCGCAGGAGGCGTGACAGCTTCCAGAAGATGCTCTCACGGGCCAGACCGAGGTTAAACCAGCCGGCGCGAATCACGCTCATCACGACGCCATCGCCATCGCCATCTGATAAGATCATCTCCGCACCCAGCTCGCAATCTTGCCGTCATCGCACAGCCTTGACACCTTGTCCACGATGCATTGGGCATTAGTTCTCGAGCCATGCGCTCTCCATGCGTTTGTCGGAACAGCAAGCCCAAACCGGGCAACGAGTACGGTGCTACAGACAACCACATGTGACTAAGCTCTGCATGTCGTCGCAGAGTCTCTCCCATATGACTCCTCGGGCTTTTATCATATAGGAACCACTGGCTACGCGAAGGTATCTTGTTGCAATGTGTAGCTCAAATCCCATGACGTTAACACAGTAACGTCTACCAAAGGTACTCAAAAACAATCGATTCTTTTTATGCTCATGTACACCTCCTACTCTACACCGTACATCGCATGTATTCACAACTCCAACGCACCCTCCATGTACATGAATCAACCGCCCCAAGACGCATGTCGCCGTCTGTGTGCGCCACATTTGTCTTCGCAAGACGTGCATGACACCCTAACCTTGTCCATTACCGAGATGAAGGGCCATTTTCTAGAAGCCTCCTCTATAAAGACAATGCCCAGCTTCTGCTGTTGTCTCAATGAACCAATCGCGGGTGTGCCGTACAAGCTTTCCTCAACCCATGGTTGGGGTGTTCCTACCGTGCGTAGCGGACGACATACTGTAAGGGGCCTGCCAACGCCGTTAGTGACCCAATTTCCATGCTGTAGCTCGCGAATAGCTCACCAAGACTTTCTTGGCATTAAGGATCCTCCAGGCCAGATTCTTGACCGTGCCATCGGCTTGTACCACCTCAGGAGCGAACTCAATACCGAACCTGGATATCGTTAGTCACATGATCCAGACAACAACGCACCAAGGGAGAGAACTTACATTTGGTGCACTGCGAAGACAACACGTCGCGCAAATTTGCCATCTCGCTCGACCAAACTGCCAAAGGTTTCTTCGGCGGTCGATGGCGCGATTTCAGGGTCGCGGTCAAAGCAGTTCTGGATAACTGGAAGCAGCGCTTCCTCCACCGCACGCTGAATCGTGCCGTTGGCGTCTGCTTCAACGTCGGTCTCATCAAACTTGGGGATTCGGATCTCGAAGGCTTGTGAGAGCGCCATGACGTGATGTCGACCACCATGGTGATACCGAAATTCGAAGACACCAGTAGTCCACCAGAGCTTGTCTCCACGGAACTCGACCTCGCCAGTGTAGCAATCAGATGACTCCTCATCCGTATTATCGGCTGGTATGAGCTTGTCCGAGACCAAAATGCCATCGTCAGCTCTCGTGGAGTCAAAGACATCAGGGTTGGTGGCTACCCATCGCCCGTTGGAACTGATGCGCGTAACTTCTCGAGACTGGTTGTCAGCAACCATGTACAGGCCAATCCAGTCTTTCTTGCTGTGGTTGATAGGTGCCTGCCAGCGAACCCTGATGGGTGCACCGTACTCAAGGATGAGTGTTTTGAAACCATTTGTACGAACAGCTGGTGTTCTTGCCAACTCTCCTTCGCGACCACCGCTCTTTTGCTGCTCCACTATCGGCGGGGAAAGGGTGCCCTCAACCTCGAGCCTGTATTGCTTCGCATCCAGACCTACGGGCTCCGACGAACGGCCGCTGACGGGAATGCGCGATGGGTAAAATTTGAATCGGCTTGTTGTGTCCTTGATCAAGGCATCGACACGGGCAGCCACTTTGGGCCTTACATTGTCCAGAAATTCTTCGATGAATTCCATAGTAGAGTTGAGATACTCGTCGGCTGCCGACTGCCACTGGCGTACTGGGTCTGGTAGTGCTTGGCGTACGGTTTTACTGACTCCCGACATCTCACGTAGGTTTCGCCCATACAACTAAGCATACACAGTCAGTAAAGTTCTGGTCAAGCACCGTATTGTACGTCGAGAAGAATCATGACTAAAGGAAATGTTGACTCACCTTGATGACATGGGGCTTCTCGACAAACTGGAGGAACGCGAGGTTGAGGACATGGGCGGTCGTAGCAAGATAGAAGATCGCGGGGTTCCAAGTAATGAGAGCTACGCCCCAGACGCCAGCCAATCCGAGAACTCGTTCAGGATTGTTCAGGAAACGATAAATACCGGAGTAAGTCAGTGACCTTGAAGGCGGGTCGAAGAAGAAGTCGCCACAAAACTGCAGAGATGAAGATGCAGTGTTAGCGTGTATCCTACATGCACTTCAAACTTCCAAGACTTACCCATCCAAACTCGCCCAGGGACTCGTAGATGCTCATGGCAACCCAAAGCTGAAGTACAATCATACCCGAGCCAAGGACATGTCGGAAAAGCGTGAGACCATTGAGACCATCAGCAGGAAGACTGTACATCTTCCATGCCACGGCGAGAAACGAGGCGTGGCTCATGGTCATGCTCATATGGTATAGGGATTTCCATTGGCGCCAGGCTTCCTCCTTCGTGTCGCCATACTTGATGAAATGTTTGGTCCAGTTCTTCTTCTTCGACTGTCGATCTAGAATGTAGCCTAGTCCCAGCGCGTACCAGAGCCGCCACCCGAAGGCGTTGATGAAGAGAAATGTTCTTACCAACCAAGTGTTGGGTGTCAGCGTCGCCAAGCACATCATGTAGAACGAAAGCAATACTACCGTGAGATCAATAGATCGATGAAAATCCGTGTTCAGGGGCCCTACAATGTGGTGCGTTTGGGCTGGTTGGTGCTTGGTGGGATCGTAGGCGGTATCAGAGAAGGCGACATCAGACTGGCTAGTTTTGGGCCGGTCTTCGAGCTGGAGATCTCCAGAATTATGGCGCGTACGGCGGGGTGGCGGCGGATTGTACAAGCGGTTTATGTGAGGCTCCTCTACTATGGAAAGGAAGGCAAATTGGGCTGCATGGGCGATAATCGAGATTGCTAGGACTTTGTAGCTTGCCATCATGAGGGCGATACCATAGTATCCAGCATAGCCTATTGAATACATGGGACTGGTGGACCGGCGAGTTAGTGTCTTTTTCAGGCTGAAAGTAACATGGAGCCTCTTACTGCGGTGCCATCTCAAACACGCCATCGAAGGTCAGGCTTTGATCAATGAGGTAGAAGAAATCGCCCCAATACCTGTCTCGCATGTTAGACGTCTATCTTTCAGAGTCAGGGAGGGGTCCCCAACCAAGCGAAGTCCTTGACAACTCTGTGGGCGTCTAGCTTGACCCACAGGTTGAAGAGGAATAGAACAATGCCCGTCGTCCAGCGCAAAATCCACAAGAAGAAGCTTTCTTGGGGGCGGTTGAAGCAGGCGAGGGCGAACAGGCAGTATGAAACAAAGTCACACATGAGTATAAGGTCTACTACACGCCTAAACACGAGCCACGTGTTGTACTCAAGCGGCGCTTCGTCGAAGTTGTAATCGTTGGGGATCTTGGTCTCTAGTTCCCGCTTGAGGAGCTTATACAGGGCGGGGTGTGGGTTCTTGCCAGATTCAGGCTTCTCGAAGACATGGCTCTGTTTCGCCCAGAGGACGAGACGGTTGTGTTTAGACTGGCCATCGAGCAACCAGCCAATACCGGCATTGTAACCGGCGCGCCAGAAGAGGAAGATGATTGCGAATATGGGTATGCGGGCGCTTTTGGGCAGTACGAAGAAGGTCAAGATCAGGGCAGCAAGCACGGCGAGGACTGCTATATCGGACAGGTTCTTGGGTTGCGAGGGCGAGAGCAGCTGCGAGACCATGTCGTGAGTCTGTGGAACGATGAAGACTAGACGTGTGGTGTTAGTATGAGTAGTTCGTGGTACAGGTGGACACGCTATGCATGCATGCATGGTAATTGCTTTTGCTTCGGTGCAGCACCAGGGGAGACGTACCTGTACCGTCTGGAGTTCTTCCATAGGTGCGTTTCTTGCTGTCATCTTTGTGGTTCTTGTCTTCGTGGTCGTTCAGCTCCAGAACCTTTTGCTTAGCATCGTCTGCGTTGTTGAGATGCAGCGGCTTAGCCGACGGCCGCTCGCGTAGCTGGCTATCGTCGGCGCTGGACCCATTGCTAACATCAGCCATGTTGGATGAGACGAAGCAATGGAAAAGGTGTCGATTCTTGCAGTACCCGCCAGGTGAGGGGTTCGCCGGTTGATATTGCTGCGACGGCTGCGGCGCGAGCTTGCCGCGACGCTATGCAAGCACTGCGCAGTGGTCTGCTGTATGAACTGCCGGGATGGCGTGGAGGCACTCGTTGGAGCCACACAGCACGGCTCTAGGTTCCGTCTTTCTAAGACACCAAGAAATCGCGCTTCTCTTCTTTGGGCCGACGGACGGGCGTAGAGTGTTGAACTCTAGCTAGCGTGCAGATGTTGAACGTGGATCTGAGGGGAGAGGTGGTTCGGTTGTCTGCAAGTCGCGCAAACACGGGTGCGCTGTGATGACGGCACAGTGTGGGGCAGCCCGCTTCACCAAATACGGCAGCGATGGGCCGAGGCCAGATGACAAGCGCAAGCAACCAAATCTTGTATTTCACATGGTAAACATCAACAACCTGTAGCTACATCCTTTTCTCCCGCCCAAACGCCCTATCTTGCATCTTCCCTGAACAGCTTTTGCTCCGATGAACCCACGTTCGCCAACCGTGCCTGCTGCCGAGTTGAAGAAAGGCGCCATCGGAAGCGATCGAACGTGACGGAAATGTGTGGATCCAATTATATATACTGCTGACCGCACCAATGAGTGTGGGACCCTGCCAATAGTATTGTGTGCCGTGGGGTGCTATGGAACCTGCCTAACATGCCAGCGTGGTCTCATCATAGGGAGCCTCTTCTGTACTTGAGCTTGCCACCCGTGACAGTTGCGTCCGAGCTGGGCTTGGCTAAACGCAGGCTACCTAAGTGATCTTCTATGTTCCCAAGTGAACCCTGCCGTCGTGCTTGGCCCATGCCCGCATAACTGACAAGGCATCTGTCCAGAAGCTCCAACACCACTATACTTGACGTTGTTACTGCCATTGCGGAAGGAAGGTTGATTTCGGCTAGTCGTGTAGCTACAATCCCTTTCTGGTTCGTATACGTGGACTGAGGGTGGAATGTCGGAGCCTCGGGGCTCAGCAGAAGATGGGTCTGCGTGTTGGACGATGCAGATTGGATAGGGTTGATCTTTCGGGTATGCTGGGCATCGAGTGGTTGTTTGTAGTCATCCGATATCGTTCCGTCGGTACTTCTGGCTTCGAGATGCTCGTCCGGAGCGACATCGAAGGTGAAAAAGGGGCTGATGCTTTCTCTCTGAAATGGCGAGAGGATCGACTCATCCGTCCAACCGTTCCAACTCGTTTCTGTAGGCGCCGATTCCAAGTCTCTTGGGTACGAGCATCCTGTCGAGATCGAGCCAAAGTCTGGTAGCGTTGAGGATATGGCTGTAGATGGCAGAGAGACGGTCTCGGCGATGTAAATGTTTGCTTTGCAAGCCTGGAGGTTGTTGAGAAAAGCCTGTTCATCCTGCTCTCGATGCTTTATTTCTTTCTCTAATTCACGTTTGACCTGCTGGAACCGTTTCTTCTTCTTGCGTGGTAGTGAGGGATCTGTGACCAGCCGGCGTTCTGTTCGAGCTTGCTTCTTACGTAGAACCTGCAGATAGGTAACACAGTTGGCGAGTCCATCCTCCAGGATTTCCTTCTCGGACTGCAGTGTCGAAAGATCGGCATTCCAAGTTGGAAGCTCGTTCGTAGGGAAGAAGCTGTTGGTAACGGGGGTGACCCACAGCTGAGAGGGGCCCATCTTGCGGGAGGTACAGTAGTCGCTTCTTGCGGGCTTAGTGAGTAATAAATTGGGTCACAACTGATGTCCAGCACACGAAATAGGAGATGTTGTAAATGCAAGGCTTCCGCTTCGTCTGATTAAGAGACTTATTTGATCGCGGGCGAACTCAGCAGACCGCAACGTCTAGGTTCAATAGAGACTAATCACCTTTAGCGCGGGCTTATTCCATACAATATGAACGATGTCGCGAATAACGGGAACAACAAGTGCGACCAAGGCTCGGGAACAGTAGTGGCGTAACGCCCGACTCGAGTGTCAGCGCGGTTGGCGGCCAGACGCCCATCTCTTAGCCATCACGGAGCAATAAGACTCGTAACCAGACTGCGACAAAGCCATCTGCCCGGAGACAATTGCAACCTTGGAAGGGCCACCAAGGGGTGTCGGGAGGCTTGCCGCAGCCAGGCTCTGTACTGGGCTCTTCTATCATGGGCTGCTCAAGCCGCTCAGGCCGCCCAGGCCGCTAGACCCATGAAGCACGACATTCATGCGGGGTGCGAAGGTTTGCACGATTGCTGCTTCGCCGTCTTTGTTGAAAACGTCTTCAGTCCAGGTCTGATGACCGTGTCCGACGCATTGAGACTTCGTAAGCATTTGCGTGAACTGGATTCAGTACTTGAGACGTTTCAAAAGGCGTGCGGAGATGGGCGGTGGTGATGGGATCAGGTACGGCTCTAGCGGATGCCGTTCGTTTGTTCGGCCGTGGTATTGTGATGCCCTATGCAAGGGGGAAGCTACGGTGTGCTTCTGTGCTTGGTGCGTAGCGTCATTCGAGGCGACTCAGCATCGGTGAGATGATATGACAGCTCGTATGCGCACATCAAAGGGGAGTCCCAGACGAGCTGTGTTTGCTTGAAATCTTCGGCAGCCCTCATTTTGAAAGAGACGTTGGATATTGGCAGACTGGTGAGTAAGGAGCGACGGATGCGCCTCGAGAACAAGCATTGGCACTTCTGCGCAGAACGACCCAGAGTCAGCCATCAGATGCACTGCGATCGTTTCGTGGTATGAGGGCTGAGCTGATATTGAAAGGGAGCGTGATTGACCTCAAAGCGGGACAGCGCGTAAGTGAGAGCACCTACATGCGTGTCATGTCACAGCGGGTATGCAGACGATCAAGGTTGTTGCCTGGCGTGCGGATCGTGGCTTTTCAGCACGACCTCCAGCGGACGATTCATGGATGACTGGCATTGATGGTGAATGTGCACAAAGTCAGATGATCGTTCTCTGACGCGCGGACTTTTCCGCGCGCTGCTGTTCCGCGGCGGTGTTGCACCTCGCGTCATTGTAACCGTATTGCCCAGCCGTGCACCGGCTGAAGCCAAGGCTCGCAGCCGATCACGTGATGATCCTGCACCAGACGGTCGTCACTGTTGCTGCCCACATGTTTCTGCTTGTTAACACGCTTGTACCTGACACTCTCCATGCCGCCTACGCCAATGCCAACCGCATCCAACAAGCCGCCCGCCTTCCCAATCACGTTGCCATGCCCAGCCATGGTTGAGCGCACGGTAATGTGTCAACAAGTTCGCGACTCCACTGTGACGGCATCGCTTATGCAGCAAGGCATCGACCCCGCAGCAGGCAGTGTGGTCATCCACGAACATGTTACAGTCGGCGAGAGTTTGCGACCGAGAAACAGCCTCAGCCTGCCCTGCAGCGTGTTCCTGGACGTGGTGGTTTGGCGTTGGTTTTCGAGGCCTTCTTTGCCTTTGCTCCCGGACTTCCGTCCTTTCCCTAGCCGGCACACATTGACGTCATCATTATGGTCTCGTAGCAATGCTTGACGTTCCAGCTACCATGCCTCCGGATGGCATTGGTACCAGAGTAGATTGCCTCGGTGGGGTTGTTGCCGATGATGTGCTCGACTCGAACAGGAGTTTTTCTCGCACCGTCGTTGACCGTGAGAAGGAACCGTGTCTGATTTGTCGCGTGTTTGCGAGTGATATTACCACCACAGCCGCTAGCCAAACAGTACACGTTCTGACGGAGCATTGCATTCTACACTATTCCGTTTGAACAGTTACCGGCCCTCTAGTTACCGTCAGCTACCGCACGGCATAAGCGTCCGAGTACCCACATTACGTACTTTTACGCGCTGTATAAGTATCGCGCGACCCTCGGCATAAGACGCATCTAGTAGACCGGCTCTTGAGGGGCATACCGATTGACCACAGCATCCAATACCAAACACCCCAGAGAGATGGCGACCAAAATAATCGACATACGAACGGACACCGCCGAGTCGGATATCCTCGCTGATATCAAGAAAGGCCTCCGGCCTGAGAGTGGCGGCGAAAAAAAGCTGCCTACGTTGCTGCTTTACGAGTAAGCAACGATTTAGTCAGCCCATGATGCACGCTAACCTTTTGTCTCTTCTGTTAGCCAAGAAGGCCTTCGTCTATTCGAAGAGATCACGTACCAAGAGGAGTGAGCAGCTTCACGCTTGGTTTATATAAACACCAAGCTGATAAATGTTCGCAATGTTAGGTATTACCTAACGAATGCCGAGATTGAAGTCCTCGAGACGTATGCGGAGAAAATCGCCGAACGAATCCCGACGGGGTCCATTGTCGTGGAACTGGGGAGCGGGTACGGTCCTGGCTCGCACTGCGCAAGAGATTGGAAACGAGCCCTGTGCTTCGTGAATACTAATGTGTTTGCAGCAACCTCAGAAAAGTCAACATACTCTTGCAAGCCGTCGACCGTCTTGGCAAAGACGTCGAGTACTACGCTGTCGACCTTTCCCTGCCGGAGCTGGAGAGAACATTTGGGGAAATACCTACAGGTGAGGATTCATTCTATCATGCTGAACATTGAGGGGAGTCGAGGGGTTTGTATAGTGCGACACGCTTGCATCAGTTTCCTGTGAAAGTGGCTTAGACCTACATGAGCCTGCATACATGCACCTCAACGTAGTAGTGGCCCGGACACTTATCTCCTTATCATTGCGCAATACCGGGCAATGCGAACTGCCGAAACTCGCTAATCAAGCACGCAGAAGGGTACAAGCACGTCAAATGCTTTGGCCTCTATGGCACCTATGATGATGCCCTTGAGTGGCTGAAGACTCCCGAAATCGAAGCGAAACCGAAAACTATCCTTTGGCTGGGCTCAAGCTTGGGCAATTTCAAGCGCCATGAAGTACCGCCATTCCTTGCTGGATTTGGTGCGGTTCTCCAGACTGGCGATACCATGCTTATCGGTATCGATTCATGCAAGGATCCCGAGGTAAATCTATTGTCCCCACAGGCATGCAAACACCCACTGATCAGATTCCTATACTAGCGTGTTTACCATGCATACAACGATCGCGGCGGTGTAACACACAAGTTCATTCTCAACGGGCTGAAGCACGCAAACGCACTCATGGGCGAGGAAGCTTTCGACATCCAGGACTGGGAAGCCATTGGAGAGTACGACGAACAGGCTGGAAGACATCACGCTTTTGTCGCACCACGCAAAGACACTGTCGTCGACGGTGTTCATATCAAGCAGGGCGAGAGAGTTCGTATCGAAGAATCCTACAAGTACAGTCGCGAGGAAGCAAAGGAGCTCTGGGAATTGGCCAAACTCGCAGAGAACGTTGTGTGGGCAAACTCGAAGGGCGACTACGGCCTGCATTTCGTCTCGAAGCCTGCAATGTTCTTCCCTACCAAACCTGAGGAGTACGCAGCGAACCCGGTGCCATCTTTGACCGAGTGGCGTGAGCTTTGGACGGCCTGGGACGCGGTCACGAAGGACATGATACCCGAGGAAGAGCTACTATCTAAGCCGATAAAGCTTCGCAACGAGTGCATCTTCTACCTTGGCCACATCCCTACATTCTTGGACATCCACATCGCCCGTGCCACCGATGGCAAGCCGTCAGACCCCGCCTACTTCTGGAAGATCTTTGAACGTGGTGTTGACCCTGATGTTGAAGACCCAACTCAATGCCATGCTCACTCCGAGGTTCCCGAAGCGTGGCCCCCGCTGGAGACAATCCTGAAGTTTCAAGAGACTGTGCGACAAAAGGTTGAGGCGCTGTACACTTCGGGAGAAGCAGAGTCGAACGGTCGCGTGTCGCGAGCACTGTGGATTGGCTTTGAACATGAAGCCATGCACCTGGAGACATTGCTCTACATGCTGATTCAGAGTGACAAGGTCTTGCCACCTCCAGGAACCAAACTCCCAGACTTTTCGGCGTTTGCTGCGCAATCTGAGACCCTAGCAACCGCTAACGAGTGGTTCACAATCCCCGAAGCGGACATCGACATCGGTCTCAAAGACCCAGAGAAAGACTTTGAGACCAAGCGTTACTTTGGCTGGGATAACGAGAGACCTCACCGCTCAGCACATGTCAAGTCCTTCCGCGCAAAGGCTCGGCCAATCACAAATGGGGAGTATGCCACATATCTGTCCAAGACAGGAAAGACAGGTATGTAATCTTTGCAGCGGGAGTTGTCGCGTGTATTGATCAAAAGTCTGAGCTCTTCTGCTAACTTGTCGAATCCAGCCATACCTGCGTCGTGGTGCGAACAGCCATACTCAAACGCCAAGGATCTGAGCACTGGCAAGAGAGACAGCGTGGTAAACGGCCACCATGAAGGTGGTAATGTCTCACCTCAGAGCATCACCGAAGGGAAATTTGTACGCACCGTCTACGGCACTGTTCCCTTGAAATTTGTCATGGGATGGCCGGTAGTCGCCTCCTACGACGAATTAGCTGGTTGTGCGCATTGGATGGGCGGTCGCATCCCTACCATGGAAGAAGCACGAAGCATCTACAGCTATGTCGACAGCATGAAGCCGGAATTTGAGAGCTCGCTTGGAAACAGAATTCCAGCCGTGAACGGGTATGATGCCTGTCATTCATCGTCGTAGACTCTTGACTAACAGTCTGCAGCCATTTGATCAACGAAGGCGTTTTTGAGACACCACCATCCCGAGCTTTGTCAAACGGCGCCTCTGGCGCAGTA